CTGTCACCATTTCTGATTTTTTCCTCCATATTCTGTATATTCAGTTCCCAATTCTGGAGATTCTTCTGGACTCCCGAAGAGCAGGTGGCAGTTACGGCTAGGAGAGGGTCTGTAACTCTGTTGGTTAGTTGGCCACTTTGGCAAATAAATTTAATAAATAACTAAATGTACTAAACAGGTTCCTTTCACCTCTCGCCGTTTCTAGTGTTTATCCCTGTCAGATTTGCCTATTTGGGGAATTCTTCCTTTTTGGAGACTGCAACTGATCCCAATCAGGAAAGATTTCATTTTTTTCCCTCTTTCAGGATCCCTTTTAATTTCTTGCTGCAATTGACTTTGAAAGATGTCTCAAAATACAGAATATTTTCAGGAGTGAAAAGGGATCCTGGCCTGAACTAACCAACTTGGTCTCCTGTTCTGGGCCCTCAAGTGCCTCTCGTGTGCCTCTTTCTCTTCCTTCCCTCCAGCCAAGCCCACTGTCACCATCTCCCCCACCAAGTTGGACCCCGCTTCCCCCAACACCATCCTCCTCTGCACCGCCAGGGGCTTTTACCCCCTGGAGATTGAGATCCAGTGGCTGAAGAACGGGAAGCTGGAGGAGGAGGGCGTGGCCTTCGGGGAGGAGCTCCAGAACGGAGACTGGACCTACCAGCTCCAGGTGATGCTGGAGACCCAGCCCCAGTGGGGGGACATCTACACTTGCCAGGTGGGGCACGTCAGCCTGGAGGCCCCCATCACTGTCCAGTGGGGTAAGCCCCTCCCCTCCTGCTTGAGATGGGGAGAGAACCTCCCTGTGGGGGAAGCCGCAATGGACCCTCCTGGGGGACGGTGGGCCTGATCCTCCTGCTCAGGTGAGGCTCCTTCCCCTTCCCCAGAGCCCCGTTCCTCCAGCTCTGCCAGGAGCAAAATCTGGACAGGGATCATGGGGGCTGTGATTGGAGCGGTCTTCCTGGCTGTGGGGCTCTTCTCCTACCTGAACAGCAAGAAAGGTGAGTCTGGGGGTCTGGAGGAGAGGTTGTGGGGAGGGGACCATCTAGGGGAGGCCTGTCATCGAGCTCAGCAGGTGGCCAAGAGGGTCTCCTTGAGGAATAGTTTTGGGAACTTCTGTTC